GGGGGGGTACTGTCAAAGTTTTTGCTAGATAACCCTAGTTTTTCAGCCCCCCCCCCCTCCCACCTCCTGATAATTACTGCACAGTCCCTTACAGTAGAACCCCGACAACTCGCACTCAGATAACACGAACTCTCCGCTAACTCAAACTAAGTCCAATTTTTCTTGGATTTTACCCATTAACTTTTCAGTCATTTTTACTAGGTTAACACGAACTCCTGAAGATAACTCTAATTCTTCGCTAAGTCGAACCAAATTCTCTTTCTCTTGATCAAATTATTTCACTGATTTTTACCCTGATAACTCAAGTTCTGGTTCTTGTAACTCCACTCGAATGCCATTCCAAAACACTATTATTAACACTACAACAAATTGACTCTAAATGGTGCAACGAACAGATCACGTTTTATCATAAATTAAAGATAACATAATCATATTACCGTTTCTGATGATATTAGTTAAATTTGCGTTGTACTGTACACTGAAGTGCTGAAAAATCGGTAACTATCTATTCTAAACATGGCGCATTGAATATTCAATCGATCCCGATAATTCGACCCCACCACCTCCCTCCCCCCCCTCCCTAACTCTAACTGTTTTTCGTTTCCCTTCGGAGTTCGAGTTACCAGGATTCTACGCTACTGTACACGGTATTTTAGGAGAACTGTATCTGCAAGATAAAACCGACATCTGTTTAAATCCTGAAACCGCCAAAGTTATTTTAAAAGTCTACGAAGAGGAAAGCATGTGAAGAACTTAGAAACATTCTGAATGAATGATAAAAAAAGAACATTGAATTCGGCTCGGTCTTAAGTGAAGAGTTATACTGATCTCAGATCGGAGGTAATCGTCGATAAATCGTTTTCCCCATAAACAGTTACTTCTAAAGTTAATCCTTTCATAAGGTTACCGGATACTTTCGGGGTGTCTCGCGTGCGAGGCTTAGTAACGCGTTCTGGTTAAACTGTAGATACCTAAAACTCTATATCAAATTAAAGCTTATTAAACTGCCTTTCTTAATAACCAACAATTTTTTGAAAAAATGCACTGTCGATTTTTTTAGGATTTTTTAATGCGAACGTTCGAACAACTTTTCAAAGTCAAAACTTACAGCAATATCTATTTTTCATCAATTTGATTTGTTCTAGTCTTTTGGAAGTCAAAGCCCTAAAAACGTGTCGGGGTTTTCCCGTTTTCGATCGGGATCAAAAGTTACAGAACAAATTGGAAATGACCTGCCTGCGAGCGATAGTACCGCCCAATGGACCATGGGAGCGTTTAGCGTTGACGCAAAGGACGCTGGGAAGAGTTTCTCATGATGCCTAGCGCGGAACCAAAATCGCTCCGGTTGCTCTCGAATCCGCTAGAACGCGCCTGGGTACAAGGCGGGGAAATAGCGCGAAGAAGAGGTTGGATGATCGTACAAAAATGCCTGTCAGGACAAAACACTTTTAACTTCTTTAAGTTATCATGGAAAGGCATACATTAATAAGTCACTTATCACCGAGGGCACACTTTGTAGTAATCTTTATGAAAAGTCAGTATATAAAAAGTGTTTGTGAATGCTGTGATAGACAACTACATTTTGCAGTTCCACCTTGGAAATAGCCTGCGTGCAGACGATAACTAAACTCTGATTAGTACCGTCTGCGAAGCAGCGCAGAGATCCTTGTTCTGAACCCCCAACGGACTCAACGAATTACCGGAAGTGCGTTTCGAATTTCCCTTCAACCTAATTGGCGATCACGACAAACAAAACAAAGGCCTTTTTTGACTGGCCAATCGTGGCGCGTACTCAAATCTGGGTACACAGATGGAAGTCCAGAACAAGGATCTCGGCGCTGTTTCGCAGAGGGAGTTAACCAGAGTTTAATTTCGTCTGCGCGCAGGCTACCTTGGAAAGGGCAAAGTAATTTGGTGGTTTAGCACACAACACAAACAGCAAACAAAAAAATAATAAATCGGAACTTAAAAGTGTTGAAACAGTTGAAAGGAAGCTTACTAGCGAGTCTCAATGCCTCTCGTTTGCATTTCTCCTGCGTAGAGGTTCAATGGAGTTTTACATTCAGAGAAAAAAAGCAGGGGCAAGTATAAAATTACCCATCTGATGTACCTTTCAGCAAACACGACTGCACTTAATTCACACAAATGTCCCATCAAACCTCTGCAGCGGAGAGAGCCTAATAGTATTTAAGGAGTGCAACCTTAGCTTAACCCTATAAACCCTAATACTAAAAAGCAATTTCCTCAAAGCTTTCTCCAAACATTTCTTAAGGCCCTTATAACAATAACACTTTCTTTTCTTCTTTTTTCCGACGACAAATATAAGGAAAACGCAGGAAATGGCATTTCAGAGCCCCCAAATTTGGAAAATTTTCTGGGAGCATACCTTAGACCCCTCTAATTTGCAGTACCTTTCAGAGGTGTAGCCTTTCTTTCCGTGCGTACACCTAAAAAACCTCACGCTACGCCCTTGCTTTCGGCAGTAGCTTTTACCGTCACGAATTTTGATTTATTCAAAACCTCCTCTGTCTCGATTACATTCTCTGCCCAGCGGACTGTATCTTAGTTACCCGAAAAGAAAGACAAAACAGGTTAGCCTTTAAGTTTATTAATAAGCAGTTAAAAGTTTATTCAAAGTGTTATATATGTTTTTACTGAAGTTCAGTCAAAAATCCACTCAACAAAACAACATCGAATGGACTCGCTATCGATTAGTTCTTGGATGCCGATTTGCTAAATCAACCAAGCTTGCTCCGCCAAGTTGGTTGAATATTGGCCGCTTCGTCCTTTTTCTGTTAGTTTGTTTTGTTTTCCCCCTCGTTTTCATTGGCCTTGACTCCGCCTCCACCCGTAAAAACGCAAAAAAAAACTAAGCCATCTTGACCTCACGCTTGGTAAGTAAACTCAGCCACACTTCAAGGTAAAGTAAAGTAAAACTTTATTTACACAGGGTAGCCCATTCAGCTCTAAGGCTGGTCTTCATACGGGCCCTGTGTCTTAAAAAATTAATTTACATCAAGAACATTAGAGCAAAAGCAGTATTTTTATCAACCGCTCCGTTCCCTTTAATTTTTAATCGTACATTTTCATCATTTTTTTTAAACGGGGCCTTTAATGGTCTAGCTGCAGGTTATTTCTATTTTGATTAAACAGCAGCAGAAATTAAAATGTATGAAACAAAGGGTAAACATGCTTTCTTTAAAAGCTGACTTCCATGGAAATGGTATCCGTTGGAACTTGGAAAGATTTTGAACAGTATTTAGTTATCCAATTTATGATTTTTTCTTTCAACAGCAAGAAATGGACGCGGGAATGATGGTGAGAGTTTGAATCTTAGGCGAAAGCCTTATAGTATGTCCCCCAGATGACAAACTCATAAACCGAGAGACCCTGGAAACGAGAGCGGAGTGCACCTCGTGTGACACTGAGAACATCAGAATTATTTCTGGAACGTTATCTCGAGTCAATCTGGCTTGGGAGAAAACCAAACCACAAGCTGCAACTTCAGTAAATTTTGTTGTTTTATGGTCTGTTTGTGCGTCCGATCTTTGTTATAACTGGTGCCTACACAATCAGCAATCCTGAAAGATTCCAGATGTTCAGGGTTTTTTGCTTTTGTAAAGACCAGGAAGACGAGGCTGCGTACCCTCAATTCGCCTCTTTGAGGTTGCGCGGCAGATCGGGTCGAGATGGTTGTCAAAGTACATTGTGGGGCTGTTTTGAGGGACGAATTTGCCGCCATGTTAAATATGCGTCCTCTAAAACAGTCCCACAATGCACTTTGACAACCATCTCGTCCATGTAAATATTGGTGTCATGTGGCTTGCCATTTCCATAGGTTCTACTTATCCTAATTACTTGAGCAGAAAAAGGTGAATGGACCGAGGACCCAGCATCACAATTGATGTCAATGCCATAGTGAAGTCGACTGCCTCTGCAATAAAACATAATTAGGCTCGCACCCATTGATTAAGTTCTCACCACTTCGTGTTTAATGCCCCCTAAAATGGGGCCCCCTCCCCTGATTGTGGTTTTTGAAAACTTGTTAGCTTGACAGTTTTCCAAAGTTCATTCTTTTTGTCTGTAACATTTGATATAACCCTTAGAAGATAAATCTGTGTGACATCACAGGTAGCCCAAGCTCGAAATATGAGCATCGGCGAGCATCGGCATTGTTGCGTAACATTCAAAATATAAGGAATTGTATGGGAAAAAAACCTACCGTTTCTGAAACCTACGAAAATGAAAGGATTTCAATAAAAAAAAGCTTACCTTACTTAAAATGTGTGTTACGTCTCTCCTGTGTGGTCCACGGGCCGATTTATGGCCGTCTTATGGGTTTTTATGTAAACGGTTTTCTCTCTCTAGAGAGAAAACCGTTTACATAAAAACCCATAAGGCGGCCATAAATCCTTTCATTTTCGTAGGTTACGGAAACCGTTGGGCTTTTTCCCCATACAAATCCTTATATTTTGAATGTTACGCAACAATGCCGATGCTCGCCGATGCTCATATTTCGAGCTTGGGCTACCTGTGGTGACATTAAGCAGTTCTTTCTGTCGTTTGAAATTAATTTCTTCTATAAGCCAAGTTTCACTGCGAATAAGAACGAGTAATTGGTAATAGCAGTTTTAAGGGAGTGGAATAATTTACAACGGCTTGTTTCATGATGTATACGGCTTAGCAACCATGTAGCAACGACAACAAAAGCCTTTCATTTTCAATTTCGTTCAATTTTATGTTGTCTTTCTGAGATAACACTGTGGTCAAGAACTTGTATAGTTTTCTCATTATAAGCATATTGTATATACACCAAGGTGAAATTGCACACAGAAATCAAATAGCCCTTGTATAAACAATGCTATCATTACAACAAGTGAGGTAATCTTTCCAAAAATAATAATCATCACACCTTTCAGTCCCTGTACTGCTTTTCCATGACTTCTCCAGGTTATTATGGAAAGTCATACATAAACAAGACACTTCTCACAGAGGGCATACTTTGTATCAATCTTTAATATTTCTCCTAACTAGTACTGTATGAAAAGTATGTGAAAAATGTTTGAGAATGCTGTGATAGGCAATTGCATTTTGCAGTTCCATCCAGGAATGGGCAAACTAAATTGGTGGGTGAGCACACGGCACAAACAGCAAACAAGAAAAAATTAATAATAATTAATCAGGACTTAAAGGTGTTGCAACAGTTGACAGGAAGCTTACTGACAAGTCCCAATGCGTCTCTTTTGGATCTCTGCTGCTTAGAGGTTCAATGGGATTTTTTTCATTTAGAGAAAATCCATTGAAAAAGCAAGGTCAAGTGTTAAATTAGCTACTTGAAGATCTTTTCGCATTCGCGACTGCACTTACTAAACACAAATGCTCCAACAAACCTCTGTGGCAGAGAGAGACTATTTAAGCCGCAACCTTCGCTTATCCACTAAAAGGGAATTTCCTCACAGTGTTCTCCAAACATTTCTTAAGGCCCTTATGACAATACTACTTATTCTTTTTCCTCCTTTAGTTTTGCGACAAATATAAGGAAAAATTAGATGTTACAGTCTCTATTAGGGCTTACAGGGCTACCCAACATACTTTACAGTAATGTGATAAAAGCCAGGACATAGATGCAAGAGAAGATGTGGCAGGGACAGTGCCAATGATATGGTCATCATGTACCCACTTCATGATGCACAAATTCAAACCAGCTGAATTTCGTGCTGCAACATGTTGCGGGGTAAAAATCTTGTCCCCCAAAACAAGGAATCTTTTCATAAAATCAAGCCAGATCAGAGGGCTTGCCTCTGCATCATGTCCCTGCTTCATGACACACAAACTCAAACCAGCTGAATTTAATGAAACATGTTGCAGAGATAAATTTTGTCCTCACAATAGATTTGTCAACACAACACAATGTCTGCCAGGAAAGGGGGGGGACTTGTCTTCACATCTTGTCCCTGCTTCATGACACGCAAATTCAAACCAGTTGAAATTTCACCCAACATGTTGCAGGGATAGAATTACATGTATGTCCCTGCCACAGGATTTTATGTAAACCCATGTCAAATCAGGGGATGTGTCGCTGCATTGTGTCCCTGGTTTATGTCTGGCCTAAAACACGTACTATAAAGGCGAGTCCCAGCTAACAATTTGTGGTGTACAATGTATGGTGAACACTAAATGTTTACAATGATCACTGACTTGATCTTTAGAAATATTGTATGAATAATCAAACCAAACAACAGCAACTCTAGGTTGGTTGGTAAAATAAAACAGAAACAAAAGATAAACTGACCAAAATAATATAACTATGTGGTTAAAACATGACATGCCCAACTGTCTGCACTATAACTACCGGTAGCTCCAATAAATCAGGGAAATTACTTTGTACAATGACATGGAATGCATGTGCACTTTATCCTCAACCAAACAAATGGCAAACATGTTTAATTATCTCCGGCCTGCGATCCAAAAGACTATCTAGTACCTATACACTTTAATCCTTTCTTTCAAATATTAGTGACAAATTCTTAGGTACACATGCTTACAGTGGTGCATTCAATTGAGTGAATTGTAGAATTCAGATGGTTGGAAACATGGCTGGAAAGATACCATCTAAATATTGCCCAGTGTACAGAATGTAATAATATTACCAAACCACACAAAATTCTTAATTTCTATCCTCATTTTCAATGCCCTCAATTGAATGCACTCTAGCTATTGAGGAACATTCTCCCTGGAGCGACAACAGGTTTGTTTTCTGTGTCGAACTTTCACAATTCCCTGCATGAAAGGATCATCAAAGAGGATAGACCGTTCAATGTTGATCAATAACCAGTCTAAGCTAGCTATGATACACAGCTAACTTTTAGGGCTGGCCTGACGATCTTACCCTTACATGTCAAGCTATGAAACTAACTCTAAGGTCATATAAAACATACTAATTTGATGGCTTAGTTATTTACAATATTGTGGAATCAACAACACTCGCTATTCTATGTTTAATAACAAATTAGGTCAAATATTCTGTCTATTGTCCTTGCATTTTTCTCTCTGTGATGTCTTTTTGCATGAAATTTGTCTTCTTGTTGATTCCTTGAAAAATTAAACAAACTGCAAAAGAAAAATTAAGCAGTCATGTAATTAAATCTGCACTTAAGAGGAACACAAAAAGAAAAAAAAAACATTCAAATAAACAATGATAAATACTTTTGTTACACAACATTGCATGCTTAAGACATTGGATGGACATGTAAAAGAAGTGGGCAATGTTAATTTACTATGCACATTGTGGGCAAGTAATGTTATTTTGCTATGCACATTGTGGGCAAGTAATGTTGTTTTACTATGCACATTGTGGGCAAGTAATGTTATTTTGCTATGCACTTTGTACATGATAACAAGATCAAGAACTGAAAAAGAAAGTGAAGAGGAACAATAAGCAAACGAATTTACCCAAATTCGAATTTGGTTTCGATTCTATACAGTAATTGTTGCCTGACTTCACAATACGAAGTACAACGAATGACGAACAAACACTCAAACTTAATTGGAGACTTAGTAATGTTCTTATGCCTCTCACGTCATTAGAAACCTTCTACTCTCAGGGTTGTATATAAGAGCCGGTAGCCAGCAAAGTTTGCCAGCTTCTCTGCAAGGCTTTGCCAGCTCCTTTGATTTCTTCAAGAGTCAAGATATGGTGAGGAGATGATGTTTATCCGGTCTAAACTTAGGCTCAATAAAAATATAAATTTGCAGTGCCTATCGTTAGCTCCAGCAAAACCACCATAAAGATACAAAAAATATCATTCCCCTATTTGTTTACACGGTTGTACATTGATTGTCACGCTATATTTGCAGCTTAATTCATCTCTCTGATGTCAAAGTTTCAAGGCCCAAAATGCCAGGATGCATTTTCCAGCGTTCAGTTTTCAAAATATTTGCGGGGGAGCAGGCCCCTGGACCCCCCTAGAAATGATTGGCTTAAGCCTGTCATATGGCTCCTCTGGACCCACAACCGTCTACTTTTCAAAAAACTCCAGCCACTTAAAACCTTAAAGAAAACCCTGACTCTATAAAATAACAAATGCTGCTCAGGGTTTAATTCTTGCGAGAAATTCCTGAACTACGCAAATTTAAGATACAGTTAGCAGTTGACAACTCTTAAGGAAATTTGCATTCATTCAGAAAGCTTGGGTGATACTTTTGCGTCGAAACCTTAGTAAAATTAATCAAACGGCATTTTGCATCATTCAAATAGCAGAAGTCGTCAGGCTAAGTGAACTTGAAAAGCAATCTATGACTTTTTATCTGTCAAATAAACGTTTAATATGCAACAGTGTGAACAAAGTCTCAAGACGCTTCTCATTGCTTTAGTTCTTTGGCTTGTCTTTCAAATTCTACTTGCCGATTTTTTTTCGATTTCCTGTTCCTAAATGTCCATTGGCTTTATCCTAGTTGAATTGCTGGTCATCAGTGTCAACTGGGTGTTTATAGTGTTTTTTTCGCTGGAAAATTTACTTGTAATTTGACCTCCTGAGCTGAATTGTTGTTTTCCCGATATTCAATAGTTTGCTATTTTGTCCTTCGCTTTTTGTGAGACATGATTGACAGCGTACATAAAAGTTTTGTTTGAATATAAACATTCCCTTTTTTAACTTGAATTGGTCTTGTTTTGAGCACACAGTCACTTGTGTGAATAAACCATGCCGTACGGCAGGTACAAAACGCAAGTCACAGGTGCAGGATAAACTACAGGTCACTATGCTATTGTAAATAAACAACACTTAAAGTGTGTCCTAGCCCTAATCACAATCCAAAATATAATTTTAGCTTAAGGTAAAACTGCTTGTCTCAGTTATTCATCAATAGAGCAGTGACCTGCACTACTGACCTGTTACGTGTGACCTGTGTTTTGTACCTGCCACCATGCCGTGTTGTATTACAGCTGTAACACAACACCATTTAAACACTAACACTATGTAACTCTATGTTCTAGAGTATGTCTATGTAAAATTATCAAGAAATCATTCTGGGTGAATCTTTTGTTTTGGTTTTCTGGTCTTGGGAGACTCAATCCTGGCCTCAATTCTCAATAGCTTGTTATCGATTTTAAGGAAGGCATGTTGTCGGTTAATAGGCTAGGCTTTCACAGAAATAGAATACTCAATACCATTCCATTCATATCGGCAGTTCGGGAGCATTTCTTTCCTTTTGTTTGAATAAACAAAACGAAAACAATGAAGCATTAAACAGTGAATAACAAAAGCGAAAGCTAGTTTCAAAAATGCGCTTTCAAACTAGTTAATGACTTTGGGTAAATACAAAAAACGTGCATGTGTTCTGCGTGTGCGTTGGTCACTTATCTCTGGGCTGTACTGCAGCCGTAGAGGAACAATGCCCTCTGGGAATCATCCAACTTGGCAAAAGTTATGCATTCTCAAGTATGAAAACAACCAAATTAAGACACACAATATAACTATATTTTGGTGAAAGCCACGCATACCTTTCAGGAAAAAAACAGCATGCATAACTGAAAGGCTTATGGTTTAAATGTGGCTGTTTTGCACCCTAAAAGGCGACATGCAAAGTTTGTTTAAATTCTTTCACAGCAAATTAACTTTTCACTCATTGTCGGTGATAAAACTAATCTTAACTTTCATTTTTTGGAACCAAAGTTTAATCAATAGATCTATCATAAATATGTTTATCCATCCCTCACAAATCATTAAAAGCATCTGGATTTGATGAAAATGTCAGAAGAAAGCTTTTCAGTTGCACTGAGTTTCATGAAAGCATGAAAGAAAAATTTTCCAAATTCACTTAGAGTCTTGATTACTTCACTGCTAACATTAAGAGAACATGCCAGTTTCACTTTCCAGAACTTGTTCAACTTCACCTAAAATTACTCAAGTTTGCGTTCTGATGTATTTTGAAGGTAGAACGTCAAGAGTAGACAGAAGAGGGGGCGCCCTGGAAATGCTGGAGGCAGCGCACTGGCGTGGCAGAATTTAAGAATATGGGAATCATTTGGACTGAGGCAGTAAAAACAGCCCAGAGCAGTGTTTAAAGAGGAGCATCGTTGATGGCCCCTGCTCCACTTGGGGCCAAGGGCCAAAGAAGTAGTAGTCATTGGTGAAACATCATTAAAAGACACCAGTATCAGACCATCTATAAAGTAATTTTTGAGACTTGGGCAGTAAACTATTTATGGCTATAGTGAATAATTTAAAACCTTGAAATTACTTGCAGTTTTCAATCAACAAAACTAGCAGAAAAGAATGTGTCAAATAGAGTAGGAATTAGCCTCTATAATAACAGATAGCAAAAAACAGTTTGCACATTAAAAGTAACCTTAATGTTTACTTTGTTTTATTACCCCAAGAGGGGGCATGCACTTAAGAAGTAGAATTCGCATTGGAACACGTTAACTTTTGTTTCAGCAACATAGATGCGGTTGAAGTTAATTTCGCCGAGTAAGCGTTGTTCATAAGAGCGTACACAACTGTAATTTAGGGTAGAGTTCTTAGCAGAGTATTAGAATTACACTTAAAAAGGGGAAAGATCATCATCACGAACTTGAATTTCTATTCAAATCCTACTCACTTCAATACTCAAACAGCTAAATGTAAATCCGATTTATAAACTATTGGAAAGGAATCGATGAAAGTGAAATAGATGTTCAAAAC